TTAGGTATAGACTTCAACAAACTCATAAGTATCTTCCATTATCATATGTTTTTGCTGCTGTACTCAATACAGCATGTCACCCTACACGGTAAATAGAAATATTTCTCGGTTACAATTATTTTAAACACCTTTATCTGGTTTAGAGGGATTATACTGTTGCCTTTGCTTTATTCAATTTTAGAACATAAGGTGGAATTTAGAAATTCTACAACAAATAGAAAGGTATGTGATAATCTGATAATATAAATTCTGTAAATTGTAAAACCTTATTTCTTGGGCTTCTTTGTCGGTTAGAGATGGGATGTGTATTCGAATTCAGATAATTCAGATTCATATAATGATTCTGTCCCCTAGCACGACGCCTACGATGCTGTTCGACAACTTCCACGTCTCGGTCAGAGTTGGATGAGGATGAATCCATCGCAGAATTATAGTTAAACATCGATGTAAACCCCGCAGAAAATAGTGGGCCTACTTACAGATTACTTATAATAATCTGGCACGGAAACAATACGAATGAAACTGTATTAAACTTAGTACCTACTTATTTATTAAAAACCACTACATTAAGTAACATTCACCGCAAACTCAAACACAACTCAGTATCACATTCAAAATAAGATCTTAGTGATCGTAGCGGCACTTGAAGTAAATCTTTTTTTGTAACCAAATTTTCTAAATAAGGCGCCATTTTTTCAGTTAAGTAACTAATCATCGAACTTGATCAACATACAACAACCACAGATTCTTTTCATTCTTGTAATAAATCAAGATAACTTCCTGTCTGAATACTGTGTCTATGCATTGCATTGCATTTTTCAATTCAATTAAAAGAGTCTAAATGGAGTGTAAATCGACTAATCTGACGTTTATTTTGAGGATCTTCCGCGATTTTAGCCTCGCGACTTCAATTTGATGTGGTAGCACTGGACAGTTCTGCGACTGGACTGTTGAGCTGATAAAAGACAGTCCTTGTTTCAAGTATAATAAAATATTTGCCTGCATTCTGTCTTTTCACCAAGGAACGTATATACATTATACGAGTATGCATACAGAAATAGGTTTAATAAAAATACGATTGCCAATTCTCTGCAAAAATATCGCGCACACACAGAGTATGATGAACATTAGACGGTAATTTAATCCACAATCTACACGTGGATACACTTTCTAAAATACTCTTTTTTTATAAAAGTGCTTCTCTCAGGTGAGTAATACACTGTTATTTTCAATAAAGATTCGGGCAGGGTTTAAAAGCTCCTCTCGGATTGGCCAATTTTCGACGCAGTTTTAAGAAAATGCTTTCTAATTGGTCGGATTATAGGTTTGATCTCCGGATCAACTGAAAAATATGTTTTTGATTTAATATGGGAATAACGGCTCTTCTTGCACAAATCGTATACTTCTTCGCTAGTTTGAGAGATATTTTTGGAAAAATCGACTATATTCATTAGATCCATTACTAGAAGGATTCATTGGTTCATTATGATACTGATCAAGAATTTGGATCTCCAGTTAATAATATCGGGCCTAAATGCCCCATTGCTAAGATACAGGCTATTGTTAATTTCGACGTCACTGATGAAACTGAATAAGGACATAACATGAATATTTCTGAAATACTATGGTGAGATAAAATTACTCCACCTGTCTATCAATAAAAAGTAGGCAGAAAGTTTTTTATACGGAATTTTCCTAAAAGTTTACTACCCATTTTTGTCCATAAGGGGTACCCAGTCTGAGTAAAATGTGTCGGTTGCGTAGAAAAGTCTTTTTTCTCTCAAGGTTTTCCGATTTATATAGGTATTTTTGGTTATTACGTATCATTATAATACGAGATAAATGATTCGAGTCGACAAGCTGAACTATCTAAAATTTCCTACGTGAGGAAAATTGCACATTGCACGAAGTGATTTTCAATTATGCTACTCCGTCGAGCACATATGACGTGACTCGTAGCATTTCTTCATTACCTTTCTGCGCCAATTTTAGCGCAACTTGTGGACAATGTATTTCCAGCCATTGCAATGTTTTGTATAGAAGATCAACAAAAGGAAAGCTTAAATCACGCTCTCACGACAGTAACAAGCTTAGTAGTATGATACTTTTACGTAACAAATTTTTCGAAGTGAGACAGAATTAAAAATTTTATGTCTATGAGCTTACATAAGAAGTCTGCATAGAGAAGCAGATTGTATATGTAAGTGTTATCTGTAGTTTTACCGTAATCCGCCAAAATTGATGAAAAGAGCCTTCACCGAATACTGAACAATCAATAACAACCAGTGATAGCTTGTAATAGGTAGATTAACAGGTGGGCTGAAAAGTCCGTATCGTTTCTATGAGATGGCGCCACCAGAATAAAATCCATACGCTTCTTAGCTAGTACCAACCTTCAAAAGATGCCTGTCAAAATTTGACAGCTGTCGGATCATTAGTTTTTGAGTTATCGTATCGAGAGTGACGCTACTTTTGTTATTTTTGAAAACCATGGAAAGTCAAGAGTTTCGTGTGTTAATGAAACATTATTTTTTGATGAAAAAAAGTGCCGTCGAATGCAAGAAATGGCTTGATGAGTGTTATCCGGACTCTGCCCCGGGCGAAGCAACCATTCGCAAGTGGTTTGCTAAATTTCGTACCGGTCACATGTCAACTGAAGACGACGCACGCAGTGGACGCCCAAAAGAGGTCGTTACGGACGAAAACGTGAAAAAAATCCACAAAATAATTTTGGGAGACCGCAAAATACGGTTGATTGACATAGCTGAGGCCTTAAACATATCAAAAGAACGTGTCAGTCACATCATTCATGAATATTTGGATATGCGAAAGCTCTGTGCGAAATGGGTGCCGCGCAATCTCACATTTGACCAAAAGCAACAACGCATCGACGACTCTGAGGCCTGTTTGGAGGTGATTTTGCGCAATAAAACCGATTTTTTTCGCCGATACGTCACCATGGATGAAACATGGCTCCACCACTACACACCGGAGTCAAATCGCCAGTCGGCCGAGTGGACGGCTGCATCCGAACCACCTCCGAAACGTGGAAAGACGCAACAGTCAGCAGGCAAGGTTATGGCCTCTGTTTTCTGGGACGTGCAAGGAATTATTTTCATCGACTATCTTCAAAAGGGCCAAACTATCAACAGCGACTATTATATAGTGTTACTGGAGCGTTTGAAGGCCGAAATCGCCAAGAAACGGCCACAAATGAAGAAAAAAAAATCTTGTTTCACCAGGACAATGCGCCGTGCCACAAGTCCATGAAAACGATGTCGAAATTGCATGAATTGGGCTTCGATTTGCTCCCCCATCCACCGTATTCTCCGGACCTTGCTCCAAGCGACTATTTCCTCTTCTCAGACCTTAAGAGAATGCTCACCGGAAAAAAATTTCACAGCAACGAAGAAATCATCGCCGAAACTGAAGCCTATTTTGAGGACAAGCCGAAGGATTACTACCAGAAGGGTATCGAAAAACTTGAAGAACGTTATAATCGCTGTATAGCCCTTGAAGGCAACTATGTTGAATAATAAAAGCGAATTTTGACGAAAAAAATATTTTTTCATTGAAACGATACGGAATTTTCAGCCCACCTGTTATTTCGCTTTTCGTGCAAGAAGTTTCAGGTTCGAAACTCACGCCGTCTGCTAAAAATTTTCTATAACCGTACATTTCATCAGTAGGACCATGTATCCGTTGAACCCTTGCATCACCACCCACGTACCTGCCAAAATTACCCACATGTCAAGGATGCGCCTATTTGGCACGATCGATAGGTCACCGATATATTAAAAGGTGTGGTCCAAACACCAAAGGATACCTCTTTTTTCCACGGTCACTTAAATGTCCGAGCCTCTAGGAATACACCGCAGCAGCTTGAAGTTTTCAGCGCTGCTATTCGTAATACTGTACGGCAAACCTGAAAAAAATGGGTCTCATGTCTTACACAAATATTCACCAAAGTTTGCAGGCTGAGTTTTTTATTTTTGTCTGAAACCTTCTAAACAAATTTAGCTTATCAATTCCATAGCTGAGTTTAATGTAAATCTTACCTTGCGGCACCACAAATTGGTTTTCTGGCACGAGCAATCTGATTTGGTCACCTACTCGGACGACTGCTCTCCCAGAGAGTACGAGATAGCCCTAGAAAAGCCAAAAATCAAATTCCACGATATCGGAAAGGATACGGATACGTTGCATGAATGTATGAGCGTTTATGGTTTTCTTTTTAACTATGAAAAATGAGACGTAGTCTGGTAGTTCAAATTATTCAATCTAAACCAATACACGTAGCTGTCAGTATATTATGGAGATATAATGGCATTGGTATTGAATGGCTGAAAAAGCGTAATGAAGTGATGGTTTGAAAACTGTAGGGATGCACTAAGTACTTGGTTTGTATCCGGTACTCGGCCCATTTTACCAAGTACCGGGTTTCGCCGAGTATTAAATTACTCGGCCGGGCAATTACTCGATATGAATGCAACACATATAACTTGTGTGAATTAAAGTAACGCATTTCAGACGTGCAGTCTGAGCTCATCTCGGGAAAAAATAGCGGACCATCAAAAATTGTTAAGGTTAATGCACATTATTGCAGGTTTCAGTTGCTCTCTTACTAACACTCAATGAACAACTAAACCCCACAAAACAACCAAAACCGAAAGAACTAAAAGATATATCAAAAATGCCATCAAGTAGGTTGACTGCACTTTCCAAGCAACACAGTTATCAGTTCATACGGAATTATGTTCAGTACAAACTAAACCCCTCTGAGAAAAAAGTCAGTCAAACAGGTCCATACAATTGAGTCCATGGATATGCTTGGGATTAACTGCTGCCTGATAACGCGCAACACGGGTTAAATGGCAGCGAAGCATTTTGCATTGGATTCCACAGAGTCGCAAAATCATAGAACTAAATATTTAGTTTTTAGTTAGTAGTAGTAGTTAGTCATTCATCACCAGTGTCACCACTGTCACCATTGACGGACTGCCTGTCAATATGTTAGTTTGCTATTTCGTATTTTCACGATTCTTTTCAAACAAGTGTACGCGAAAAGGAATAACTTAAAGAAGCAATGGCGATTTGGTAAAATTACAGGTAAGTAGTAGTTATATTTTATGTTGCTGTAGCATCTGAAAACATTCCCAGAAATGTATTTACTATAGTCACAGACACGGAAGGAAAATCGGGGTCGGGACTCAAAGTATAGGGCTCACCAACAAATGCTCATTGAGTAGTTCAAAATAGGGCTGAACTATTATACTTTAGCGCATATCGCAAATATTTTATTTCTTATTTTAACATGAAAGATTAGGATGTGACTTGTACTAAAATTTCATTTATTCTTTAAGGAACCCTCTGCTTGCTATTTTATAGAACTTCAAAAAGTTGCATTTTGGATGGTAATTCTCTGGTTATAAGCTGGTTTTTTCTTGTTTACACAAAAGAATGATCAACATTAAATGAATATAACATAAACTGTATATTACTGTGACTCTGTTCATGGCAACAATGGAATTTTGCATTATTTTAATGATGAAAATAGAACATTGTTAAGTAGTCATTTAATTTATTTCAGATAAATATTCCCATCACTATACCACCATCACTATCATAATTTCTGCATCTAGTTGCGATGTTGCCAAATCATGGATAGTAATATAATCTACGTTGATTTGGTTTATCAAATTATTACTTACATACTAGCGCATAAATGTGAAATGGGCACAGGATTGCCATGAAAATGCAATTTAGAGGTGTGAGCAGCAGGTGCTACTGTAGTACTAAATAGTTTACCTCGTGTCCTACGATAGCGTTAACTAAATACAGTTTTTTCACAAAAATGCTTCGGTTATTGTTTTTTTTTTCTATAGTATACAAGGTCAGTGGATTTAACAGCTCCTGACTTTTTTATGGGGATTCTTTTAAAATAGGGTTTATGCCAAATACTGTAGAGCAGCTGAAGAACAATATTACGGAAGCGATTGGCAATATTCCTCCCGAAACCTACCAAAAAGTGATGGAAAATGTAATCAAGAGTGCACAGGTTTGCGCCGCTTCTAGAGGCGGACATTTGTCTGACATTATTTTTCATACATAATTTCTGAGTTTCAATACAAGATTAGGATAAAAAAATGGACGTATTTTATTTAATTTCACAAATATTCAAGATACAAACCAGTCCGTTACATATCGACCACCCTGTAGTTATAATCTATTTACTTTTTGTATTTATAATAATAATAATGTTTATTTGCAACATACAGTTAGGTGAAAATACTAGCAAAATACATTTAAATGAGATATGTTACAAAAAAGGGCTGAAGGCATTTAAAAATGATACAAGTTCAGCCCTTTACCTACTAAACATTCATATATATATATATTTGCAGTAAATATTGGGATAATCATAAAACAAGCCATTTAAATAAATTAAGACTTATATTTTACAAATTACCTCATTTTTCTCTTCCCCCAAAAAAGTACAAGTTGGCAACAATGGACATCATTTATCCTGTCAAGAAATGAACGTTATAAAATTGCCATTGAGAATTGTTTGTACTTCCAAATATACCCTATAAACGCAAAAGCTTTGATCTCATTGAAAATACGAGAAACAAAATGCTTAAGAAAGTTCTTAAAAAAATCTCAATACAATACCTCTACACAGTTTACCAAGTAAATACCATCATTTACGGCATGTATTTTGAACTGTTATTCTAGCTTATTATACAACTAGCTTTGAAACTTTTTTTGCAAAATACGATTTTTAATAGTTTCACCTTAAAAAAAGTTATCATTTCTGCCGATTTTTTCAATTTTTTCCGAAAAAAAAAAACAAGAAGTTCGGCCTTTATTCGCTAAAGTATAGTCTGAATATTTGGAACTGTCATTTCAGCTTATCATACGGCTAATTTTTAACCTTTTTCTTAAAAAAACCAACGATGTTTTGCAGTTTCACATCTATTTTCCTTAGTGATGATTTCTTAATATAACTTAATAAATAAACAGTATTCTATTCTAGAGTATTACCAGCAAAAATGCAAGTTTGAAGTTCTGTTAAATAGCAAGCAGAGGGTTCCTTAAAGAAAAAATGATATTTTCGTAAAAATTACATCCTAGTCTTTCATTTTAAAATAAGAAATGAAATATGTATATGCGATATGCGCTAAAGTGACTTACCCAAAATAGTGTGAAAAAACTGCATGTACACATCTACCTGTAAGGTAACTCAAACCTTCGCAGAAATGCGTGTATTAAATAACAGCACTACCTAGAATTTAGGTTGAGCTGCACTGAAGATAACCGCGCTAAAGATGTACCTCCCAAAACTACCTTCACTGACTCCCGATTATACTGCTCTATAAGTGCTACTGTCCCAGTTCTGGTTTTTAATAATGCTATTTTTTCCATATCCTGGAATGTTTTCAGTCAAACTGGATTGAGTTGTCCTTCTTTCCGTATTTATATTTTGTGTGACGCGACCAAGGCCGGCTGCACGGGAGGAGCAGCCGCGACCGGTAGGTATGTGATTCGTCTGCTGACGATATCCTTCTAAGGGATAATGTGCAGAGAAATCTAGGATGTGTGAAATGTGTCTAATAGCGTATATATCAACCTCCTATAACTTGAGAAGTACCGCTCGAATTTCGATGAAATTTTTCAGCCTATCCTGACCATTTTCGGACAAATATTTGTAGGGGTTAAAAATTGAGGGTGGATGAGCGCAATTTTTGGAAAGTATATTTATACGCCTCCTACCTCAGTAATTCTACTCACATATTAGGCATATTTCACTCATCATATACGGTAAGATTCACGTTTGGCTGACGGGAGCGAGTACAATGTGTACGAGGGAGAAAAAAAAGAAGAGTGTATAGGAACATATGTTATAAAGAGATAGAAGCCGGTTGACCAGCGAAGGTCATCATTACGTTGCCTAGCAACGGTGACGAAGAAGGTCGTGCAATCTGCCACGATGCCAGTATGCTGCACCAGTTCCTTGGATTAAGATGCATATTGAAAATATAAATATTGGTTTTATTTTGAGCGTACACATTTTTGAATTGTGAATTGTCTCGAATCTGTTTGGGATCGATTCCGGTATTATCGGCGCTCCAATTTAGGTCGAAATGAAAGGTCAGGATCGCCACAACTTCTGCAACATTGCATGATTGGTTCGCTTGACAACACCGTATCTCATACATTCCAAGGCAAGGTTTCCACCTCCATAGATGAGCGATTTTTGCTATGTTGCCGAACCTACCAATTTTTCGGTATTTCTACCAGAATGAGATATTTATAATTCAGATAGTTCCAGATGTTTTACCGAAAAAGGGGTAAGAAATAAAAATAAAGCTAAATAAATGAAGTGTATGTAGTGTTTGCAGTTATATGATCCATACCAGTCATATATGAGCATACACTTAGGCAGTCTGGCACACGAGGGACAAAGATTTAGGTTGTCTGCAATTATGAGCGCACAGCCCTTATTCCGCTTTCACTATATTGGTTTTTGTGCGTACATCAGGTACAGTCATTGCCGCATGAGAGGACAAGCAATAATGAAACTTGTATTTAATTGAAAGGGGTGAAACAAAAAAATATTCAGAATCTTAGAAGCAAGGATTGCATCATTGGTTCTCTTGACAACACCTCGACTTGTACATTCCAAGAGAAGGTTTCCACCTTCATGATAGTCCAGAAGCTTCTTTTTTCAAACAAGTAGTTGTACACCGCTATGCCAACCACTCTTGTTAACGACTTCACGACAAACGCTGTATTTCATATTCTCGTTTATGGCCGCTTGAACGAAGGGTTTTTCAATATGTAATAAAACAAGTGGTATGTATTAATCCCTTTTCATTTGAAATTCTATTGTATGGGAACTGGGTTCGGACAGTGTCTCGGATTCAAGCATACATTTTAGTAACTCTACTGCGTGTCACCATCACAGTTTTCGAAAAAAATATATATATAAGGACTCTTTAAGTTACCACGCCTTTGAAACGGGTTCTAGGGCAAATTTTCTATGTACCTCATGTATGAAGATGAACTCTGATGTGAAATCGAACCAACTTGGGATTCCCGATCCGAGATTCGGGGGCATGTGTCATGAATCGTACTTGTCTGACGGTTTGAATTTTCTTGCGTAGTTTGCATCGCGCGAAGCACGTCCACACCAAACGCTCCTGTGGAGAGCGTTCCTGCTTGGATGGTCCGGTGTGGATCTGGCTAATCTGCTGTCAAGAATGGTGGTTAATATCTGAATTCATAAACTTGACATCTAAATAATCTTTGATGTCATTTTCCAGGTCATCTTTGAGGTGGTCGACAAATTTTTTTTTTGAATAACAAAGTTTTCTTAACCTTCGTTCCAAAAAATACTTGGTACACGTTTTCGGGGTATTCGTATTCTTTTCCATGTTGATTGAGAAATTTACGACAGCTTGACCTCATGTATGGAAATGCATTCTGATGTGAAATCGCGCGCTCGACATGAGTCTGCTGCTAGAAATAGTGGTTGCTATATGAATTTACAAAGTTGACCTCCAAATGACCTCTGAGATCAACGACTCTCGACGACGGAATAGATTTTCCTACATTTGGAAACACTAAGATCTCTAAAAGCTATTCTATTTCGTATTTGGTCATTCCTTTGAATGGAACCGTCAGTAGAGGTCACGGATTTTCAAAATGAGTTTCACATACACTCGAGAACAAAAAGGTACTATGGTAGCAGAGGACAAGATTGCCGTGTACGAGGCTGTTTGTGGTTATGTCGAAGGGACATTTCAAAGAGAGGATAGGATCCCCAACCTTCTTCGAATAATTCCGGATCAGAAGTCGGTCACTTGGTCACTACAGTCAGGCGCCTTTTGAGGAAACATGGCTACGAGCCATTTAAAAACCAAAACAAGCATGAGACTTTTCCTGCTGATCATACCAGGAGAATGGAGTTTTGTCATGCCAATGAGAGAAATCATTGACAAATGATTACCAATTTCTCAGAAATATATTGACCAGCTTTTCTCTCCATGGACGTATCATATACCCCAAAATCTTAGTGATTGGTTAAAGGAAAACACATTCAAGTTTACCATTAAGGACGCATCCCCAAAAAGTTAATGTTTAGGGGGTATTTTAGGTCCATCATTTTTCTTCTTTAATGGTACCTTAAATTCCTCGCGTTGTTTGAAACTGCTTCAACACGAATTATCCCGACTGTACGAAGCACGAGCATCAAACTTGATGATATTTGGTTTCAACAACAACGCGAGCGGGGTACCAGGAATTTTTGGAAACAATTTTTCCCGGACGCCCGATCTCTACATACACATGGCAACATACAATAGTCGGCGAGAGCTTGGCGCTTAATAATTTCTTTTTATGTGGATATGTGAAGACTCGCACGGTTACCCGCTTGCAAAGGCTGCCACTTTCGAGGAGTTGTGGCTGAAAATAATAGAAGCATGCCGTTCGGTGACTCCAACCATATTAGTAAATGTTCGCACAGGCTTCTACAACAGGTTACTGGCAAACCCAAGGAGGGTTACATTTAATATTTTGTTTTCATTTTGGTTAGAATTGTTTATTTACTTCCATTTTGATGCAACTTAGTGTTTTAATTTCTTTTAGCATTATGTTTGATTTCCATCGATGGTGATAAAATCAATACATCCAAATTATCACTTGGTACTGAGCAAAATCGCTCAACCATGATCAAGGAGGTGAAAATCTTGCCTTCGAATGTACAAGATGCGGTGTTGTCAAACGAATCAATGATGCAATGTTGTAGAATTTGTGGCGATCTTGAACTTTCATTTGTACCCATAATAGGACGCCGTTAGGGCCGATTTGGAATAGATCCTAAACAGATTCGACACTATTCACATTCAAAAATGTGTATGCTCAAAATAAAATCATTATTTGGGCGTAAAGAATAAACTACCGCATATTTTCAATATGCATCTTAATTCAAGGAACTGCTGAAACATTGACAACGCGGCAGATGCATGGATTTTGGCGTCAGTGTTGCTAGGCAAAGTGGCGATGAGCATCGCTATCTAGTCGGCTTCCGTCTCTTCCTAACATTGTGCTTATACATACTTATCGCGTTTCTCGCTCGTACACATTGAACTCGCGCCCGTCAGCCAATTTTGAATCTCACCGTATGCTACACTTCTTTTGTCTTTGTTCAATTACTGTGACTCAGTATATGGTCCTTGCTTAACAAAAAACGATACTGACCGGATACAGCGTGCTCAAAAATCTTGTCACAGGTTTATCTTTGGAGTTAGAAAATTTGAACCTGTTTCCTACAAGTTATCTGAAGCAGGCTGGTTTAACATGCAGGCAAGGACAAACCTTCACTCTGCAGTAATTTTTCATAGGATTATTTTATATAGGACTCCGCCGCACTTTTAAAATTACATTCCGTAGTGATGTTCACAATGTCAATGTCCGGTTCAGAGGTCTCATTTCTCAACCACCTCATCGTACTGCAATGTTCAGTAGATCATTTTCACGCTCTGTGTATCGCTTGTACAACCACGTTCCCACAGTGTCAGCTTTCAAAAGAAATTTCTTTTGAAGCAATAGTTTTGAGTCTCTCCTGTGTCGTCCTTCTCATCTGGGTATGAGTTTTAAGTTGAAGCTTGATTACGGAAACATATTATGCTTCAATGTATTTCTCTTTTTTGTCATTTTGGAATGAACTGGTTAGAATTCCATCTATTATTCGTAGACGGCTATAAAAATGGGCTATCTGTGTTGTTTTGTCCCTGGGCCAGTACTTTGATCAGTGCTAGACTGTTTGCAGGTTCATTTTGCAGTAAGTTTAATTTTTTGTTTTTCCCCTATGTAATTGTTTAACTGCAAATAAACGCTATTATTATTAAGTCCCCGTAAATTTACAATTCAAACTATAGTCGGGTGTCTATACCTGCGACGTGGTCACCGGCGGCAGAGGCATTACGGATCTTAAAAAGTGACTTTTTGTGACATTATGTACGTTTTCCTACAACATGTCAACTTGGAACTAGCTGTGCTCATAGAAGCTATACATATTGCTTAAAACGCCAACACACTTGAGCTATTTGGTTCGTGTGATGTAACCTCTGTTCCAGGGTTGGCACGCTTGTGGCCATTTATAGCCAAGCCAGGGTCGGATTCAGAGTTTTGTGTGCCCTGAGAAAAATGGTCAAATGTGGACCTTCCCCGTACATTAATTGGAATTATTAAAATGTACCGTTTATCTAAAATGAAACTATGGAGAAAACATCTCACAAAACTATGTTTATGAAAGCCTGAAAATAAGACAAAACATTCAATTACGAAAAGCAATTATTCACGGAACTCATTTTATACCAAGTGACATACAAAATGCAACACCCAGAATTATTTATCGAATTTTGATTAAAACCGTACTTTTTTGTAAAGGTTTTTGCTCATATCAGTATCCGAACATTCACATGTTTACTCAATATTCACTGATTTTTCTGTGTTGGTTCCATTTGTTTCATTGCATCATTATGCCTGCAGTTCACAGACGCGCTAATTTCACTCAATTTTCCGATTTTGAGAGTGGTCGGATAATCGGGTTATGTGAAGCCGGATTTTCTTTTAGGGAAATCGCTAATCGGGTGAATCTAAACGAAGCTAGTGTAATGAGATGTCGAGCGTGGTTTCAAGAAGGCCAAAATCGCCGAGTTAGAAGTACTGGAATTGATCAAAGACAGACTACAGAGCAACAGGATAGTTATGTGAGACATCTAGCAATTATAGATCGATTTTCCACAACAAGAGCAGTTGCTAACCAGTGGTTTGACGCTGTCGGAAAGCCAATAACAATTAGGACAGTTTATCGCCGAATAAGGTCTTTTGGACTATTTTCATACCGTCCCCATCGAGTACTACCTCTGACCCCACAGTATCGTCGGCAACGATTGGTATGGAGTGTGGAGAGACTTGACTGGAATATGGAATGGAACTCATTCGTGTTCACCGAAATTGTTAACCTTTAGGTTAATAATATTCTTTCTGCCCTTCATCAACTGCGATGCGTACCTAATACTCAGTTTTTTATTTTATTTGTTTGTATTGTATTAAGTGGAATTCAATACACTGAACTGAGGATTATTTTGCAGAAAAAAGAAATTTAAATGATACAAATAAGAAGTAAAATAATGATATGCACCCTATTTACTGAATTTGTATATATTTTAATGATTGAATTCTACGAACTGATCTTGTACAACCTGAGTTCTGCGTTAAAGGGACACAGCAAAATATTTAGAATTTGAATAACAAAAAAAATTAACCAAATAACCAAAACAAGCGAAATCAGTCTATTTTGATAATCGATAAGCACTATTCATTGGCTTTTTTATAGGTAATCAAACATTTCAATAATTTTGATGTAATACAAAAAAGTTTAAATACAAAGTTCGGTCCTGAATCTTTTATTTTTCCGACTAGTTTTTTGGAACTTAAGGGTTACTTTGTCATTGTGCAAAATTTAATCAAAATAAGCTCAATAGTGGCGGAGGTATGTGATATTAACGATACTATGTAGTATTCCACTATGGAATTTCTGGCCCGTCGAGTCAACTGACGAATGAATTAATCTGGACATATATCTTAAAGAACCTTAAACTGAAAAATACAGCTGTGATAATATGGAATATATTAGTTAAAAATGGAATCAAGTAGAATGATTTTGTGATTTCCATTAATTGGTGTCTGGCCAATTACATATATGTAGCCTCTAACAATTTTTGAAAATCAACGGCTAATATAAAACTATGAAAAATGTGTTGCAAACAATATTGCTCTCACAAGTAACAAAGAAGCTTGTGAATTAAATCTATAAGTTTTTGAGCATACTAAATACCTTTGATCTCTTCAGAAAGTGCTGCAAGTCGGTCCAAAAATCCAAACATAGAGGGTCTATCGAAATAACACAGCATAAAGTGACATCTTTTACCAGAATCAACCACTATAATAGTGGCAAAAGATGGCACTTTGCGCTGTCTTGAACCTCGAATAGAGAATAGTTGCTCAGCTTTCGTTCAGTGTCCCACCTGAGACCAAACCTACATCATGCTAATGAGATGCGAAAAAGCACAACATACCTGTGGCCGGTTGGATGAAAGCTGTATTACTAGTAAAACTTAGAGGAGTTCCAGTGATCACTGTGTGCCAATTTTACTCAATAATATGTTTCATTCATAAATAAATACCTACTAATTCACACGATTGACAGGTTTAGTTAATAATTTGATACTTATCAATTCAAACACATAATGAATTCCAATGATTTACTCACAAATTATTTGCATGTCAAACTCTAGAACCATTATAAACAGACATAGTATCTATGGATGTCAGAGCCTTGCTCCACCAATTGTGCAAAAACGTACATGAATTTCTTAGTCTTTGGAAATCCATATCAGATATGACAAAATGTCCTGCAAACCTTTTTCTGCTCATCTGTGGTACTGATGCATTAATTCTGGGAAATTCAATAATAAAATACTCGTACAAGCACATTTAGTAATCCTGAATATCACTTGTATCAAATAAATTGCATATAGTCAAATCAAGTACATTGAAGGCTTGCTACTTATTAAATCACTACGTGGTTTTGATAATCATACCCACTATAAAGAGTTATAAGTGAAAAATACAACTCCAGTTTAAGAAACTACATCAATAAAGCTGCTGTGCCTATGTACTTGTTGAACAGTTTCAAGTTCAATCGTTCAATGTCAATAATCAATGAATTTCAGGAAATCTGACAGAATTATTTTATACTTGCCTGTATATTATACAATATTCACTATACATAGTAAAAAATAAATTGCCCGAATCTCAAGTCCAAGTATATATGCTAACAATAATTAAAAAAGAAAACGAATATTTTTGAAACTTGATACAAGGATATAGGTTATGTTGTGCCAGAGTTATCGATGTTGCCGAACGGTGAGCTGCAGCATCTTAAGCAGAACGATCGTTGAGTCATTCCTCAATGGATGACGTTATGGTGATGCTCACAGCTAACAATAACGGAATGAACTATTTGCAAACTATTTGCTATGTAGTCAGCAAGTTGACATTTTTTCGTATTTTTTTCACATTATATAGTTTTTTTACGTAATAACCCTGCCGGTAGTGGAACCTGGCCCAGTATTCGGCACTCAATTATCAGCATAAATTAGTGCTTGGTGCATCCCTAAAATATTGTACGAGAATTTCTTATCGCCAGTCAAAATCAGTTGTAAGCTCTTTGTAAATTCAAAAAAAGGATAACTTACCATTTCGGATATATTGTTTTTAGCCAGGGGCTTCTCGCCCCCTGGCTTCAATAACAGGAACACCCTGTCCATTACTGGAGAGTATCCCCACATCATCATTGGGTTGTTTGGGTGCTCCTTATACTCCATTTTTTCAGTTTCTATCAAGACAGGAAATGACAAAAATTATACATTACATAAAGTATGGAGTCAGTATTAATTAATACGACACAACACAAACATCATAAAGTGCAAATGGTGAAACTCAGCATATGACTTCATGCCCAACCCCCACTTTATCAAGATATATACGTACACTGCTACACCGACAGCACTGAGCCACGGTTACTATATTTGCACTGACACAAAGCACAAGCTTTCGAAGATGCATCCACATGGCAACAAAAGTTAAGGAAAGAAAGAAAGGTTGTTCTGTGTTCATGTCTGAACTGTTTATTTTCTTCCACAGGGCGAACTACCAAGCATATTGCATGACAATTCAAACCCAAAGCAATTTCATTAAAAAAATTACTGACAACGCTGGTAGGTGGTGTCCCCTTAATAAAAAAAGAAAACGAAGTCAGAACATTAATTAGTAATCGGCATTGATTACTAACTGGCCAAAGATCAAAATATTGATCAATATGAAACAGGTCAAGAGTGGAAAACTTTAACATTTGTTATATCAAAAAATCCGTTTATTAGCAAAATTTTCAATGACCAAAGGGCGATGAACAATCCGGTTTTAAAACGAAAAAGCCAAAACCACGGAGGCAAATTCCAGAAGAATGGGATTTAGCTAATGCGCATGACTAATTTCACAATGTTGCCAAAATAACCAATGGTAAAAACAAGCGACTGATAGGTATTCTTCGCATGACGTCACGTCCTCGCTTCCTATTGGTTGCAGGACAATCGTAAACGGGATTGCCGTTTAGTTCAATGTTAATTTGTTCCACTATTTTTGCTTATTTCTTGTAAATACTTAGTATAAATAGTCAGTCTGTTGGTAATTGTTACTGTTATTTAGTTATTTGTGAAGAACCATTGAAATGGCTTCTTTTCTGTGGTACGTAATTGTTTAACGAGGGGGAACATAGACATGTATTCCTGCTGCTCTTCAGCATGCTGGTGTAAAGCTCTTCAGTCCAAATAGTGACGAGATTAATGGATTAAATCATTGTATATGGGGCCCTTAATAGAAAGACTACCAAAATAACCAAGAATTTGTTCAGGTATTTCATAAAAGGTGATTCTTAAGAAATTTTTTTGTGTTATATTATTTGTTCGTATTTTGATTCTATTATGTATTAATACTCCAATAAACATTATTATTAAATAAAGTTGGAGGACTAACGTGTATTTAGGAGCTACAGCATTCCAAATATGGAATACTACAATCCTTGAGAAGGGATAGCAACTAAGGTTGGAAGATTATAGGAACAGACGAAACCAAAAACTTGCAGAAACAAGTATACTTGTACATTCAGTACCTTTTCTGTTTACCCACACACATTACTCACACTTTTGGCATATCTAGTTGAACTACAATGTATACATTTATGAATAGCTGAGTAATAATCTATAAACTGACAATTCCCAATTTAGATTGAGCCATGTAGGTATAATACTTCGGTTCAATTCGAGGACATCAATACAGACAGTTATTGTTCATAACGAAATATTTTCCAGCTACACTAACAAACAACGGGATAACTGCACAATAACAGCTATACGGAAAATCAACATTCTAGTAAGGGCTAATCTAGTTATTAACCACACATGACCTGGCAAAGCTGTTAAAGGACTATAATGAATGCAATTCGCATATTTGTAAGTTAGATTACAAATGATGACAAAACATAACACAATTCATGTAAGTGCATTTGCAAATATTGTTTTTTTGTGTATTATTATTTTCTTTTTATTAACAACGCAGATCCACGCCGCGTAAATCGCTCTCGAGAGACTTTATGGTAGTGGGCATCTTGAGTATCTCTAGGTGTGTCGGGACAGGAACACTATGGGGAATAACACTTGACACGCGGAGTCGCGCGAAGAAGGCATTCGCCTACGATACACATAAGACCAACACACTGTAAAGTAGATCACGACAAATAAAACTATTGTTTTGGATAGCCGAGCATTTTTTAGGGAGAACTTAACTTGCGTTTATTTATACATCATTGAATAAAATTAAAATTATTTTTTTTTATCGTATATTCAAATAAATTTTTAAATATAAATAAAAAAATTCACTTGAACTAGGAAAATAGTTATATGTATACTAATTAATTTAAGTTTCAACAACAATATTCAAACGGTTTCACTGAGAGCAGGTAAACTAATTTTAAATAAAATGATGTAAGCAATAGTTTAACTTTAATTGAGTGATTGAGTTTAGACTAATTTGATAGATGCAGGTTCTGAGAAATGGGGAATATTTTTGCTAGCTGTCACATAGTAAATTTTCCAATTCGTTTAAGTAAAATTTTGTTTAGTTGTACTGACCTACTTGGTCAGTGCATGATTAAAGATGTTTATTTGTGAAATAGTACTAGTTCTTAAAGTATTTCTTATAATTACAATACTACGATAATATAGTTACTTACCAAAAGAAGGCCCCTCTTTTTCTTCTCAGCTATATTCTCAACGGGCACCTATCAAAAAAGGGAAAGCATTTCAAGAACAGTTCAAAATGGGAATGATACATATTCGTGTGTATATACATATATATATATATATATACAGGGTGACTTCGAAGTTGAGTCATTTATTTTAACAGTGAGTAGATCTGATCAAAAGAAACGTTTTTTTCCTTTAACATTTTTCTGGTAAAATTAAATTAACAAAGTTATAGCCCTTTAGAAGTTTGAGTACCGCCCTGTCTCAATAATAATATAATATGCTCGTGTTTGGCGACAACGGATATAATCCGCCTGACCGGTTCATCGCATCGGAAACAAAAAAGCGAAAGAATTTGAAACGTTTATCACGATGTTTTTCGTCAGTCAGTAACGCGTAGTGGTGTTTGTTGCGTGGCTCAAACGAAATAAAAAATGGCACATGTTTACGAAAATGCTACACTTGTGGACATGATTCTTATTTACGGGGGGGAGTCTTTACAAAATGCTGCCCAATCGAGTGCAACCAACCACTCGTGCCTTTGTTAATGTAGTACAAAGGGCTCGTGAATCAGGTGACTTAAGACCTGCCGGTTATCCAAGACCGCACGATCAAATACAGGTCCGCACTGAAATACTTGTCGGGAGGATACTTTATAAAACAAGGTAACATTTTTTTTTTAATTTTTACACACATATTTTGGTTTATCTTCCTTCTACAATCATTATGCGAAAATTAATGACTCAACTTCAAAGTCACCGTGTATATATATATATATATATACAGGGCGTCCGCAAAGTTGGGGTTTTCCTTTACACGACGTGTAGATCTTGAAAACATAAGCAATTTTTCTTAGTACCATATATACCAATGTCTTAAGGGAACCGAGATAAAGGGCTCTGCAACATCAAAAATATCTGAATACCGTCCTGTAGCCGCGACATCCCCCAGAGGTACTAGGACACTAGCTCAACCCGACGACAGAACTGGGTCGGGGTCAGTGTGTCAGGTCAGTATGCAACCTTCAACCGACGGTTACGGTCACGCGTGTAGAGATAATCGCGTAGACGTGAATCCCTCAACAAGCACTAGAGACGTGCAAGTATCAAAAACTAAAGTGTGGCAAACGCTGCGTGAAAAGGGGCTGTGTCCGTTTCACGTCCAACGTGTACAAGCCCTTCAACCTGACGATTTTCCAGCAAGAGTGCGGTTTTGTGAGTGGTTGTTGCATCAACATGACAATAATCCGGACTTTTTGAAGTGCATATTGGTGACAGACGAATCTACGTTCACGCGTAATGGGGTGAATAAATTTCGCAACACTCATGTTTGGTCAGTAGAAAATCCGCACGCTGTCCGTCGGGCACATTTTCAAAAAACATTTTCGGTGAATGTTTGGGCTGGCATGGTGAACGGTATGCTCATTGGACCATTTATTCTCCCAAATCGATTGGACGGGATGCAATACCTAGACTTTTTACGAAACATTTTGCCTTCCTTGTTTTCCTGCGTCTGCTCGGTAGCGCATCAGCTGATTTCATTTTCTGTTGGAGCGGTATGATTTCGGGCAGAGACGTACTTAGCCCTTCTCGTCAACTGGAGAGTGAGTACTTTTTCCTTTATTTTTTTTTTACTTGGTCGCCCTCGTTTCACTACACATTACCTTTGTTATTTCAAGGGTAGTTGTTTCTGAAAAGGAAAACCCCAACTTTGCGGACACCCTGTATATATAAGAAAGGATCTTGCGAAAGGATATAATATTGAAAAATAATGGGCAAAACCTGCAAAAAACGAAAGTTTTTCTCCGTAGGCTGATGAGTTTAGCAAGTATTCCCGTTTTGTTTTTTATTTATTTATACTCCAACTACCACGAAGGCCTAAACACCCATTGGTACCGTGGGGCTATAGGGGGATACAGGGGAAAGGAGGAACGCCACACGGACTCTGGCAAGGGAACACGTGTGCATGCAACATGCACACATTCTGGCTCCGCCTAGGAGATCCGCCTCTGCGTTCGACAGCCAGAGACCGTCTACCACCTACGGACAATCACAACATCCATAGCCAAGAGAAAAATTTCCCCTTGGACGGGATTCGAACCCACACAGTGCACGGCGACTGATCAGGAGACCGAAGAGTCTACTACTGCGGCCACCGCTGCTGCCTGCCCAAGTCTCAAGCACAACCTGGTAGCACACCGTTGCTCGAAATTGATGTCATTCATTTTTAGACCACAGTAGGAAAAATTATTTGACAAAGAACTCGCTACGGACAATCAAATGACTCGAGTGAGTTTAAACTTGTCCTTAAGGCGGATCACATATTGCCATGTCTCACCTTCAAGCCTGGAGCCTCCAGTGTTGCCAAATCGAACCCTACGGTACCAGTCTCAACACTTAATTTACAGACATCGACAGAGTTTTTTTACCGCCCGCCAAATTGATTCCTAGCACCACACTCGTTTTGCTAGCTATATTATAAACTACCACCATGAGAGGAAGGGTAAACTCATTCTAAGATGCTATGAGGAGGTACGAAGTACTCACCGTGCTATTAGTACTATGCAAACATTGCAAAAACTAATCAGGTGCTGAATAAGGTATATTAGCTTTCTTAGCTCTGCGACCGCAGATAAAACGTATACACATTGTTTCATGCTTTTTAGTAATTATCGGTACGGTATAGGTATAATTCTTTGGAGACAAATTGGCGAAACTGCTCATAGGTGGCGTTTGGTTTATTTTTCGCACATTAAAATAACGAGTTTTTCAAGACTAATTTCTCTTGCTTGCTTTACATCAGTATCCAAATGATTAGACCGATACCGTTCTACTGATTGCTAAAACACATCAAACAAAGATGTATACGGTTGGCGATGGTCACACAGACACAAAGCAAACAGATTCGATTCAGCTCGAACCTACACTATTTCAAATTAAGTCAGCTCTCGAAGTGAAAGTAAGTTTTGTCCATAATTGTATCTTTAAAATATGAATGACTGTTAACAAAGAATCCCAGAAATAATATCCTCAAGATGGAGAAGAGAGAAGAGAGTTGAATATTCCTATGGGGAGTCGTACACTTCTTCAAGCTAAATTTTTAGAAAACTATTCGACATACGAACATAAGTTCGTAAGTATTCAAATCTTGACAACAAACAATACATCATGAGGAAAAATATTACTAAGTGGTTTTTAGAACGACCGATTCAATTCCGTTGGCATATTCGATCATTCGTAATGAAAATTGCTTTAGATACGGCACAATATTCGATAATGGTATATCAACTTGAATATTAAAAGCCAGTAAAATGCGTACTTCGTCTCTTAGGGCCGTATCGTCAGTCGTTCCTAAAATTGTAGGACGCCTTTATGGTCTCCTTGATTGTCATACTCCTTTCTCTCCTTCAAAATTTTTTAGATTGTACCTGTTCTGTGTCAGCGCTCTCCTATTGTGAAGATATGTTTTCTTTTTAAATTGTAGGCAATTTCAGGCGGATAAAACATGATATAACTCAAAAACATGCACAATTTGATTTGTGACATAACCTCCACGTACAGCGCTGACACGGAAAAGTAGAAAACAATGACAATCAAGGAGGCCATAAAGGCGTCCTACAATTATTGTAGGAACGACTGACGGTACGGGCCTATCAAATGTCAAAAACTCACCTCGTCCCATTCTCTGGGATATCTCCTTTTGAGGGAGGTTGCAGCGGCGGCAGGAGTTCCTTTATCCTAAAAAAAAACCTATTATGGTTACCTGTTCTGGAGTATTTAACCCCCATATTGGCGAGAAGACGCACACTAGACACTATTCAGTTTGTAACAAAAACATACGCATATTCCGAGGTACCGTTAAGCCGCCAACTACATATGCTCACACTTATCATGTACGAGTAGTTTTCGTGCTGATAAAACTCCATGCTTCACTGGCCTCAAAATGAAACCATATAAGTATGAACTTCTCTACTAACGTCTCGGCCACCGTGATGACTTTTTGAAGTGCAAGTTAAATTTCAATTTTCGATACGGAGGCAGTCGGAACGCTCGTAAGAAGTCATACCTACGTATGGTTTCATTTGATCGTCAGACAAATATGGACCTGCTGGCACTGGGTCAAGGGGTTGGTGTGGCCCTCATGCGATATCGAAAATTAATACCTATTCCATCCTCAGGGGAGTGTTACGACTGAGATTGTCAGCGAGGGGACAGGGGATGATCAGATAATGAAACCTCTGGCTATCCCTCCGTCAACGTGCAATCCTTTGTACCTTTCACGCCGTTGCCCTGTCACGCTAATCCTGGACCGAAGCAACTTGGTACTCGTGAAGAGAGATTTGGATCGGAGAGGGACCCGAACTTTTCGGTGAGAACTCTTGAGGACGAAACTGTCGTGGAAGTTAATTTAGGGCACGACAGTGGGATGGGACCGCAGAAGAAAGAATGGAGAAAGCTTCCAGGAGCCCAAAGGAAGATGGTGAAAGCTACGAAACTGACAGATGTGTCTTAGACGGATCAAAATCTGTACATAAAGGACCCACGTCAAATGTTTAGAAATTCATCTCGACAACTATCTGCCCTACGAACATGAGGTTCGTATATATTGAAATCTCGCCTCAAAAAAAAAATGTTGGAAAAAATGACAGAAGCTGTTTTTGGAACGACCGATTCAATTCCGTTGACATATTCGATCATTCGTAATGAAAATTGCTTTAGATACGACACAATATTCGATAATGGTATATCAACTTGAATATTAAAAGCCAGTAAAATGCATATTTCGTCTCTTAGGGCCTTGATTGTCATACTCCTTTCTCTCATTCCAAAAATTTCTAGATTCTCCTATTATGAAGATATGTTTTCTTTTTAAATTGTAGGCAATTTCAGGCGTATGAAACATGATATAACTCAAAAACATGCACAATTTGATTTGTGACATAACCTCAACGTACAGCGCTGACACGGAAAAGTAGAAAACAATGACAATCAAGGAGGCCATAAAGACGTCCTACAATTATTGTAGGAACGACTGACGATACGCGCCTTAGATGTCGATTTTCCTATCAAATGTCTAAAACTCACCTGGTCCCATTCTCTAGGATATCTCCTTTTGAGGGAGGTTGCGGCGGCGACAGGAGTTTCTTTATCCTAGAAAAAATAACCTATTACGGTTACCTGTTCTGGAGTATTTAACCCACATATTGGCTAGAAGACGCACACTAGACATTATTCATGTTGTAACAAATACATACGCATATTCCACGGAATGTAGGTACCGTTACGCCGCCAACTACATATGCTCACAATTAACTTATCATGTTGTTTTCATGCTGATAAAACTCCATGTTTCACTGGCCTCGGAATGAAACCATATAAGTAGGAACTTCTCTACTAACGCCTCGGCCACCTTGATGACTTTTTGAAGTGCAAGTTAAATTTCAATTTCCGATACGGAGGCAGTCGCAACGCTCGTAAGAAGTCATACCTACGTATGGTTTCATTTGATCGTCAGACAAATATGGAGTTTTAACCTGCAGGCACTGGGTCAAGGGGTTGGTGTGGCCCTCATGAGATATCGAAAATTAATACCTATTCCATCCTCAGGGGAGTGTTACGACTTCTGAGATTGTCCGGGAGGGGACAGGGGATGATCAGATAATGAAACCTCTGGCTATCCCTCCGTCAACGTGCAATCCTTTGCACCTTTCACGCAGTTGCCCTGTCACGCTAATCCTGGAGGGTCTAGGTTAGTCCCGAATGACTCTCAGGTGATGGGCAACAGCATTACCAGTATCAGTGCCAGTTCTCAAAAATCATTTTTTAGGGAATCTTACTAAACATTCGAAGCGAAATGAAGACCCCCACAAGCCAAAGTGGTATGTATTCCGTGCTGAGGGCTGAATGACACCGGCTGAGACGGTGTCTTAAAGGGAGCCTCCTAGGAATCAGATTGCCCCTTATCCTCCTGATAGATCAGTGGGAGGTACTCGTGGGAAAAGCTGGACCACAAAAAATGAAATGAAGTAGAAGAGAGGAGGAAAACAGATGGAACTCTTGAGGAAGATACCGTCATGGAAGCTGAAATTCACGACACGACAATGGGATAGGATCGCAGGAGAAAGAATGAAGACAACTTTTAGGAGCCCAAATAATTAAGATCGTGAAAGCTAGGAAACTGGCAGGTGGGACTTTAACGGACCAAAATCCGTGCAAATGCTTAGAAATTTATCTCGACAACTATTTGACCTACGAACATGAAGTTCGTATATATTGGAATCTTGCCACCAGTGAAAACATCTTGGAAAAAATATGACTGAAGTAGTTTTTGGAACGACCGATTCTATTACGTTGGCATATTCCATGAATCCAGATGAAAATTTGGGTATGACACAATTTTTTATAAGAATGTATCAATTAGAATAATAACAGCGAGTAAAATCCGTATTTTGTCTCTTAAATGTCGATTTTCCAATCAAATGTCAAAAACTCACCTCATCGCGGGTCTTCCGTGGTCTGCCTCTTCTCCGAGGGGCTACGGGGGCATCCCGCGAAGGAGGAGCCTTCTAATAAAAAAATAAAATAAAACAAACGATTATGGTTACATGGCCTCAGATATTCAACCCTCATATTGTTTAGATTATTATTCATGTTGTATCAAAAACCTAAGCATATTCCACCCAACCACTTGCTCACAATTAACTTATCCTGTGGTTTTCGGGCTGACAAAACTCCATGTGTCCATTGGCCTCCAAATAAAATAACATACGTAGCAATTACTTCTTCTCAGCAATCTCAATGGCCCTTTTGATGTACAAATTAAATTTTAATTTAGGATACCCAGGTAGCCGAAACGCTCGTAAGAAGTCACTCCTACGTATGTGGTTTCATTTGACTGGTGTTTAGAACGACCGATTCAATTCCGTTGGCATATTCCATGAATCCAGATGAAAATTTGGGTATGGCACAATTTTTTATAAGAATGTATCAATTAGAATAATAACAGCGAGTAAAATCCGTATTTTATCTCTTAAATGTCGATTTTCCTATCAAATGTCAAAAACTCACCTCATCGGGGGTCTTCCGTGGTCTGCCTCTTCTGCGAGGGGCCACGGCGTCATCCCGCGAAGCAGGAGTTTCCTTAGCATTCTAATAAAAAAATAAAATAAAACAAACGATTATGGTTACATGGCCTCAGGTATTCAACCCTCATATTGTTTAGATTATTATTCATGTTGTATCAAAAACCTAAGCATATTCCACCCAACCACTTGCTCACAATTAACTTATCCTGTGGTTTTCGGGCTGACAAAACTCCATGTGTCCACTGGCCTCCAAATAAAATAACATACGTAGCAATTACTGCGTCTCAGCAATCTCAATGGCTCTTTTGATGTACAAATTAAATTTTAATTTAGGATACCCAGGTAGCCGAAACGCTCGTAAGAAGTCACTCCTACGTATGTGGTTTCATTTGACTGGTGTTTAGAACGACCGATTCAATTCCGTTGGCATATTCCATGAATCCAGATGAAAATTTGGGTATGGCACAATTTTTTATAAGAATGTATCAATTAGAATAATAACAGCGAGTTAAATCCGTATTTTATCTCTTAAATGTCGATTTTCCTATCAAATGTCAAAAACTCACCTCATCGCGGGTCTTCCGTGGTCTGCCCCTTCTGCGAGGGGCCACGGCGGCATCCCGCGAAGCAGGAGTTTCCTTAGCATTCTAATAAACAAATAAAATAAAACAAACGATTATGGTTACATGGCCTCAGGTATTCAACCCTCATATTGTTTAGATTATTATTCATGTTATATCAAAAACCTAAGCATATTCCACCCAACCACTTGCTCACAATTAACTTATCCTGTGGTTTTCGGGCTGATAAAACTCCATGTGTCCATTGGCCTCCAAATAAAATAACATACGTAGCAATTACTTCGTCTCAGCAATCTCAATGGCCCTTTTGATGTACAAATTAAATTTTAATTTAGGATACCCAGGTAGCCGAAACGCTCGTAAGAAGTCACTCCTACGTATGTGGTTTCATTTGACTGGTGTTTAGAACGACCGATTCAATTCCGTTAGCATATTCCATGAATCCAGATGAAAATTTGGGTATGGCACAATTTTTTATAAGAATGTATCAATTAGAATAATAACAGCGAGTAAAATCCGTATTTTATCTCTTAAATGTCGATTTTCCTATCAAATGTCAAAAACTCACCTCATCGGGGGTCTTCCGTGGTCTGCCTCTTCTGCGAGGGGCCACGGCGTCATCCCGCGAAGCAGGAGTTTCCTTAGCATTCTAATAAAAAAATAAAATAAAACAAACGATTATGGTTACATGGCCTCAGGTATTCAACCCTCATATTGTTTAGATTATTATTCATGTTGTATCAAAAACCTAAGCATATTCCACCCAACCACTTGCTCACAATTAACTTATCCTGTGGTTTTCGGGCTGACAAAACTCCATGTGTCCACTGGCCTCCAAATAAAATAACATACGTAGCAATTACTGCGTCTCAGCAATCTCAATGGCTCTTTTGATGTACAAATTAAATTTTAATTTAGGATACCCAGGTAGCCGAAACGCTCGTAAGAAGTCACTCCTACGTATGTGGTTTCATTTGACTGGTGTTTAGAACGACCGATTCAATTCCGTTGGCATATTCCATGAATCCAGATGAAAATTTGGGTATGGCACAATTTTTTATAAGAATGTATCAATTAGAATAATAACAGCGAGTTAAATCCGTATTTTATCTCTTAAATGTCGATTTTCCTATCAAATGTCAAAAACTCACCTCATCGCGGGTCTTCCGTGGTCTGCCCCTTCTGCGAGGGGCCACGGCGGCATCCCGCGAAGCAGGAGTTTCCTTAGCATTCTAATAAACAAATAAAATAAAACAAACGATTATGGTTACATGGCCTCAGGTATTCAACCCTCATATTGTTTAGATTATTATTCATGTTATATCAAAAACCTAAGCATATTCCACCCAACCACTTGCTCACAATTAACTTTTCCTGTGGTTTTCGGGCTGATAAAACTCCATGTGTCCATTGGCCTCCAAATAAAATAACATACGTAGCAATTACTTCGTCTCAGCAATCTCAATGGCCCTTTTGATGTACAAATTAAATTTTAATTTAGGATACCCAGGTAGCCGAAACGCTCGTAAGAAGTCACTCCTACGTATGTGGTTTCATTTGACTGGTGTTTAGAACGACCGATTCAATTCCGTTAGCATATTCCATGAATCCAGATGAAAATTTGGGTATGGCACAATTTTTTATAAGAATGTATCAATTAGAATAATAACAGCGAGTAAAATCCGTATTTTATCTCTTAAATGTCGATTTTCCTATCAAATGTCAAAAACTCACCTCATCCGGGGTCTTCCGTGGTCTGCCTCTTCTGCGAGGGGCCACGGCGGCATCCCGCGAAGCAGGAGTTTCCTTAGCATTCTAATAAAAAAATAAAATAAAACAAACGATTA